GAAGACATGATGAAGACTCAGGCTCATGGTGAAGACATGATGAAGACTCAGGCTCATGGTGAAGACATGATGAAGACTCAGGCTCATGTTGAAGACATGATGAAGACTGAGGCTCATGATGAAGACATGATGAAGACTCAGGCTCGGGGGGGCGTGTGGCGTAGTGGGTTGTCCGTAGGTGTTCGGATCAGGGGAGCACGGGTTCAAACCCCACTGCAGTCAGCATGTCGTTGTGTCCCTGAGACACTTCACCCCAAATTGATCCCGTGGGGATTGTCCACAGTATTGAGTATGTAAGTCACTTTGGATAAAACCGTCTAACAAGTAACATGTAATGATGAAGACATGATGATGACTCAGGCTCATGATGAAGACATGATGAAGACTCAGGCCCATGATGAAGACTCAGGCTCATGGTGAAGACATGATGAAGACTCAGGCTCATGATGAAGACATGATGAAGACTCAGGCTCATGATGAAAACTCAGGCTCATGGTGAAGACATGATGAAGACTCAGGCTCATGATGAAGACTCAGGCTCATGGTGAAGACATGATGAAGACTCAGGCTCATGATGAAGACATGATGAAGAACTCAGCCAACTGAAATGAAAGAGGAAATCCATCAGGGGGCCGCAGGGTCTCTGGAGATACAGACACCACACTTCTAGTAAGTGATGATCGAGTGAGAGTATTTTCAAGTCCACACAATTGTTTTGGGGGGGGGACATGTTACTCATTGTGCCTTTACACCAAAGTTCTTTCAAATGGTTATTGTAGTTTTGAGGTTGTTTCACCATCATTGCCACAATGTTAACCCATATCATAAAATTAAAGTTTAAACCCCAAACAGTTTTTATGGATCCAACATATAGAAATGCAATAATACAAATATTACTACCTGATGTTAAATAAAAGAGTAAATACAAATAAAACATAATTTTCGAAAAAGTGCAACATTTTTGAAAAATCTGCTCTTTTCCAAATATTTACTTATTCCGAAAAATCTCCCAATCGCAAAAGTACATTTTCAAACCAGTAATTTTTCCAGAAATACACACTTTTTCCAAAAATCAACCTAATTTTTCTTTCAGTCATAATTGATAAATCTGTTTTTCTCATAAATGTACTCAATTTTCCAAAGGATCTATGAAATTATAATTCTTCTGTGGCCTGATATACAGTATTTGGTCTCACGTTTGGCTACCTACTAGAATATAACATTTTCTACCGGTTTTATCAATGTTTGGCTGGCTAGTGTGACCTTTGGCTGACCCAGGGTCCTAAAGGGTGATGTTGTAAAGTGGCATTTAAGGTTAAGGCTTATGCATTTGGAATAACTGCAGTGACTTCCACCCAGGTGATGTCACCTTTTTATCTGCAGACGTGTCCCATAATAGCCTTGTTTAAAAGCTAGACAACTGATCTGCCGTTTCACATCTGAGGTCACTGTCATTACGTCTGCATTATTCCACAGTAACTTTCCCATGATTACGCATAAGTCTTCTAAAAAAAAAAGCCTTATCCTGGAAATGGCCTGCTCTGAACTTCAAAGCTAAGATCACAGTTGCTGAACCTGTACGTGCCCTTTTGATGGCCCCTAATCCTGGCCCCTGTGTGTCTACACCTTAGGTGATTTTATAAGACGCACCATCCGCAGCACTCCTCAGAACTGATGCTCCGGAAGGTGGCAACATCAACACAATGTTTGTTTCATTAGCAATATCCTCTATGAGTCTACAGAATAGCATCCACATTTCAAAACAAGCAAATGAAGCTTCTCAAAACTAGCATTGTGGAAATCTGACACACAAACACACACACAAAAATCAAGTGTTGGGGATTTCGTTTGTCATGAAGTGAGTGCAATATTTGCTCTTCAGCTTGGGACTGACTGGAGTGTGTTTATGATGAAATAATACATATTCTAAAAGACAGCACATACTTGAAACATTAAAACACTAAGAAATGATAAGACAAAATCCTCTGGCTTGAGAACAAACAAATGATCACTAAACTCAGCAGAATTTCGTTGAACTTTCAGATGTTTTTTTTGGTGAGTATCTCAGCCTCAGGCAGGGTGACAGCTCACCAAGATGACTGACATGTGTCAGGACAGGAACTCTACCAAGTGGTGGAGTGAAGACGGGATGAACATATTGTTACGATTATTGTGTTATGTCACGTTTTCTATGTCGTGTTTTGCTGTTCTCCCTGTCATGTTTTCCTCCGGGTATATTGTCTGGTCCTTTTCCCTGTGTTTTTCCTCCCGTCGTTAGTTTCCCTGGTGTGTCTAGTGTCTGATTGTTTTCACCTGTGGCCCTTGTGTTTCTCCTCCCCTGCCCGGCTGTGTCTCGTCTTGTGATTACCCCTCCCTGTATTTAGTCTTGTCTCTTCCTGTGGTCAGTGTCGGTTCGTCGTGTGATTTGGCTTGTCCTCGGTGAGTGTTGTGTTCTGTCTTTGTTAGTATAGCCTTGAAATAAAGGAATTTTCACGTTAATCTGCATTTGGGTCCTACCTGCTTCACACACCGCAACACATATAGTATGACCTAAGGGCCAGAGCAGATTGTGATGAGCAACTTTGAGGTGTTAGTGTTTGGAAAAGTGTTTGGAATTTTGAATCAAACAGTGTTAATTAAATCAAAATGAAATATAGTATTTACATTATTCCTTCATCAACCACAGGATTTTATCATTCAACAACGAAATCCTATGACGTAATGATGAAAGCTGAGATGATCAAAATGTGTGTATCTTAGAACAAAATGCTTTAATAACATCAGCGACTCAATACAAACAAATGTATGGATATAATTTGTTCTGCAATAATTCATTGTGTCTTGTAAATCACCGATCGGTTTGTAGTTTACCGATTTGAAGAGTTTGTCATTGGTCGAAAAAAAACAGCTCCTCTCGTCTTCTCCTATCCACTATTCCTTGACCTCTGTGTGAAACGTCACAGGGTTAAGGAATAGTGGATAGGAGAAATCCAAAGGACTTAGGAGAAGAGACTGCAGTGCTTTGAGAATCCGACTGCACACTATCCGACATATTTATGATGCGCCAGCGGACGCCATGAATACACTTCTGCTGTGGGGAAACTACAGTTTTCTATACAGCGGAATACTGTAAGCGCACCTAGATACTTTGCACCGTGATATTATGGTGTTGTTTTATTCAGGCTTTATGAACTTGGACAACGGTGAATATCTTTCATTACCAATGTTGGAATTTAAATAAAAAAGGCTACTCTTCACTCACAACACATAATATATTAATCCACATGAATCCCAATACGTATGAAAATATATTTTAATAAATACCTTTTTTTTTTTTTTAACTTGTTAAGCCTTAAATCTATCCCTGTGTTTATCACCATTCAAACATGTTTAAAAAGAGTTAGGAAACCCCACATAACCCTGTAAATACTATGAAATGTCGACTTTATTTGATCATTTAACAGTACAAAAGTAACATTTGGCCCACAAATAAAGGTAAGCATTTATGCATTCATTGTTGTTGAGTTAAAACATAACTGTGTCCAAAAGTTTAAATGTATGTAATGAATGGATGCAATTGACCATATTCTTTAAATGAATAGGCAATCACTATGGCATTTAGTAATGCCACTTTACTTTCAACTTTTTTCATACTTCCATCTTACTTTGAAAATCTGCTGATTTGTTTTGTATCATATATTTTCACCTAAACCAAAGGAGGCTATGTTTCAATCTGGTTGGTTTGTTTGTATATTTGACAGCTATGCTGATGTGAATCACAGGGTAAATATATAAATAATTATTGTTTACTCGTGGAAACGTCCTTGGGTGGGTCTGCTGTCTCCAATAAACTTCCCGTATCCTCATATAATCTGTATGCTGCATTGGAAGAAGAAACACCGACGCCATCTGGTTGTCTCAGGAGATTTTTTGTTTTATCTTTGTAGCAAAAACAACAAATTTGACCACACAAACATATTTTACAGCTCCAGGTGAGAAATGTGCACAGTTGCACAGAAACACACAGTGGAGCAGCTGCTCCTCGCCTACTGCCACACACATTCCAACTGGAGTATGGTACAAAAAAATCCAATATATAGAGACACACACGCAGTCAATCTGAAATATCACATTCAGACAACACTTGAGTGAGAAATGACTGTTTACACTGGACTGTCTCTGGGCAGTTCTGCAGAAACATGCAACACCAGACGATAGAAGCAAACAACTTCCTGTTGTTTAGTAGAAACGTTCTGGATAATGAACTTGGTTATTAAACCCATATCTCCTCCAGATGGTTTATTACCATCTGTGTGGATACTATGAACATTGAGCAGTGTATGAAGAGATCACGAAGCAAAGTTAGCCAAACGTTAAGTCATCTGAAAAAAGAGAATCGGTACAGAAAGACTGAAAACACAATCTGTAACTTTTTGAAATATGCAATTAAGGTTGAGTAGACAAAATGAGAGATTTAGTGATTGCACCTGAATATTTAAAGATACTTTTGGACTCTATGGTTTGCACTTTTACAATAGTCCAGTGGAGTTTGTTGTATTGTGGATACTTACGATATGAAAATAATCAGATGTCCACATACAGATTTGATGTCCTGCTGAAAAGGTTGTGATTATTATTACAAGTGCAGATGTCCTGTTTTGGTAGAACCCGTAGATTGTCTTTGTAAACGTGACAGTGAGTGATGAAGAGAAGTGAAGACAACTCACCCAAGTTCAAGGTAATTAAAATACCCTATGATAGGCTAGAAATGTTGTGATCATAACTCAGCTTTTTCCTTGCAGCCTGATAGCCAACATATATATATATATATATATATATATATATATATATATATATATATATATATATATATATATATATATATATATATATATATATATATATATATGTTGGCTATCAGGCTGCAAGGAAAAAGCTGAGTTATATATATATATATATATATATATATATATATATATATATATATATATATATATATATATATATATATATATATATATATATATATATATATATGGGCTGTCAAAGTTAATGCGATATAACGTGTCGTTTTGGAAATCAGGCAGCGATGGGCGCAGTAAAGTTGCCTTACATTAAATTAACTTATAATTTCTTTGTTTTGGATTGTTGCAATAATAACAAACATAAAGAACAGTAATAATCGTCCACTCCCATGCTGATAAGAGTATTCAAAACTAGAAAATATCCCTTTTAGGTACATTTAAATCATATAAAAACAAAAGTGCGTTTTATTTGCGATTAATCGCGCACTGAAAAAACTGAAACATTGACTTTAATTAAATGTATTATGTCAACTAATTTCACAAAACTGTATTAGTTAGTTGAATGCATCATATTAAGTTGTACCTACTTGTAATATTATTGCTTTCAACTAACCTAATACAGTTAAATGAAATCCGTTGACATAATACATTTAATTAAAGTCAACGTTTCAGTTTTTCAGTGTGTGTATATTGTGACATCATCATTGCAATTACATATTTCAGTTCATTGACAGCCCTTTGTATATATATCGCCATTCAGGCATTTTAATATTTTCATACTACTTAGATAATTGTTGTCAGAGATAATTGTTGTCATTTCAATGAACTGGGGGGACTACATTATAAACGATAAAACCCATAGAAAAACTAGTATTATGCTCCTGAAGCTAACAAATGTACAAAAACTAAGCAGGCCTAATTGTCTGGGAAAATTATGTGCGTCAATAATTTGGCATCTTTTAAACAATTAGTGTTCACATAGAGAAAAGCCATAGGAGATGATGGGTTTTATAATCTATGCAGTCACATACAACTTTATATGATTGGCATACATAATTATTGAGTGCCCCCTCAAATATATATACTCTGTATAGAAAGTAAATATATTCACATACAGCTTTTTTGAATAAATCTTTTTTCTTAAATCTTCATGAATCAAAGCATTACATCTACGTGTATATATATATATATATATATATACTTTACCATTTCCCCAGACAAGGGTAAACTGCACAAGTAGGTAACCAAAATGAATTTACAGAAGAGGTTTTCATAGTGTAACCACTGGTCACGCCTTGGAGTCAAGGCAGAGTCCAGTTCTCATTTGTGTTTGACCAGCAAAATAAAAAATATAAAACTTTAATTTCATTACATACTTTAAATATATACAGTGTCACATATTCCAGACGGCCCTGCTCTGTCACTTCCCTTCAGCCATTTGAATCCATCTCTGTACAAAGGGTGAGGCAGAACCATTCAGAGGTCTTATTCCTGAAGTTTGTATTGGCTTTGACCGTGAAAGTCTGTTCTGAGGAGAGGAAGGGATACAAAGGATGCTTCATGCAGGACAAAGGCTCTGTCTAGGCTTGGCAGACCACACTGAAAACACTGAAATGTTGACTTTAATTCAACACATTTCACATAGCTGAATTAGGTTAATTGAAAGCAATACTATTAAATTGAGCCTAATATTTTGTATTAAAACGTAATAGTATTGCTTTTAACTAACCTAATTCCGTAATGTGAAATCTGTTGACATCATACATTTAATTCAAGTCCATGTTCAGTGTTCCTAGTGTATTGGGCAGTGTTTGACGCTCCATCCTTCCTACACAGTACTCTCCATCACCCAGTCAGCACTGTCTATTGTCCCCTTGCTCCCCCCCGTGTCCCCCTCCTCATCGCACTGCAGCAGCATGCCGTTCACAGACAGGCTCCTCCTAGTCCAGATGCTGCTGATCCTGCGGGGTTTGTTGCGCAGCTGAGCGGACGCGGCCCCCCCCCGTCATGTCGCCCATGTCGAAGGACTGGCTCCTCTTTGGCCTGGAGTCCAGCGGGAGCATGAGGAGCCGGCTGAGGCTGGAGTCCAGGGTCCGGCCCAGCAGCGGCTCCCTGTCCGTGTGGGGCTTCCTTGTTGCCATGGCAGCGCTACTGGAGGCCCCCAGGTCCCGGCCCTGCCCCCCCCTTAGCTCCAGCGAGTTGAACGCCCCGAGCAGGTTGTCAAGGTTGGTGCGGGGCTTGGGGTTAGCTGACCTCCAAATACTGGCGAGTGTGCTGTTGGGGCTGTATGAGCCCCCCGCCATTGAGCCCGAGCCCGAGGATGAGGAAGAGGAGGTGAGGCTGCTCTGAAGGGAGCCACACTTGAACTCCACCACTTCGTCCTGCAGAGTCACCTTGGCCTTGACCTTGGGCTCCGGATGAGGCTGAGGCAGCGGCATGAGAACTCCGTTTGGACCGATTCGACCCCCATTGGTTTGAGAGTGTGTGTCACTGAAACTTGACAGCTTGCCTAGCGGTGGGTCAGTATCTGTGGCTTTGTAGCGCACCATGAGGATGACGATGAACACGAGCAGGGTGGCGACGATGATGCCCCCTACCACCAGGATCATGGTGCCCCCCAGCAGCTGGCTGGGCAGGGACCGGCACTGGGCGTAGTCGTCCTGAGTGAGGAAGTCGGCGCAGCCCACAACATTGGTGGCCGTGAGCGTGGTGGCCGTGTCGTCCCAGGCGGCCAGCACACACAGGTCGTAGCGAGTCCCTGACACCAGGTTCGTCACCAAGAAAGCCTTGCTGGAGGCTGGGATCATCCTACAAAAAGGAGGAAAACAATTAAGACCTGCAGGTTAATTACCCGATTAAGATAAATACTTCTTTCTCTTATAATAACCTTGCCCCGTATCTCGTTAATTGACACAGAGGCAGTTGTAAAAAGCTGGGAGTGATACAATAAATGCTATAATGGATTGAGCCTTCAGCATTTGAAAGAGCTACACATGTCATTTGAGTACATGTAGACTTAACTAACTGCTACAGAAGGTAATGCAAGCTCTATTCACTGTGCACTTTTTCATTAATATGGGAGAGCCAGGATCTCCATTTGCATTCCCTGGAGTTTCTCTCCACTGCTAAGTCTGTACAGCTTTAACAGACAGCCAACAATAATTGGCTTTATCCCTCAGAGCCATCTGTCTTGCTGCGCTGCACAGAGAGTCCATTTGATATTGGAGCTCTGGAGCAGTGATAAATAAATAAGTTGAAAAACCAGGAAAGGCATGAAGGACTGGAGAGTGGGCACACTTTGTCGAGCCAATACAGCGAGCGTTCAACTGTACAAGGCGAGCTGTACGGCGGCCAGCGGCAGAGGGACTGCTGCAGTGATCTCACACCTGCTGTTACAATGATATCACTCCTTCACTGCCATGCCAGATTCCCCTGCATGCATGGACCTGATGGTCTGAACTTCAGGGTGACTAGAGAACACACAATAGGGGTTTGTTGAGATTGTCTGGTGTGCCGAAGGAGTTCTGCACCGCATTTAAAAAGGATGGCAAAATGACAGACCTCCATTTCTAATACTTTGTTCATCAGTGTAGCTATAAAGTTGATGACTTCTACATTGTTACCATAGCAACCAAGCAGATAGGTGGGTGATTTCTGGACAATCTGATTTGATCACTAATGGTGTGTTCACACAGGATGCAAAGCAACGATTAGCAGCGCCTTACTCACATGAGTTTTATTGAGGCATAATTTGTGTAACAAGTTAAAAATTAGCTGGACGAATAAACACTTATTATTTTCTTGTTACGTTTTTTCTCAGTCTTTTTGAAGTAAGGTGTAACATGCATACATTTGTCCGTTCCCTTCATTCATGTTATCCAGATTTAAGCAGCAGATTTGTATCTTATATTAGTTTGCTCATGGTGACTGGTTCATTCATCTCACATTTTCCCACCAAAAAGACATTTATCCGACACATATCAAGGATTGTAGATGAGTTCAACTTCAGTGTTTGCCCTATGCCAATTAGTCACCACCGCTCCAACATAAAAAGCTGTTTTCCAATAAAAAAGTTCCACTTCTCAAACTTGTGCTACAGTTCATTACCCTATTATAATTGGCTGCCTGGGATTGGGAGTGAATTCTTTAGCCTGGTGATGCTTCCGCTGTTCGCTGCGTGCTCCTGTGTCTGGGTCTAATTGATTTCAGGTTGTCTGCAAAGACTGCTAATTCATTTTAATTTATAGGAATAAATCCAAAGTCCAGGGAAACCTATGCCCGTACTTATCACGGGGAGATAACGTTTTCCCGCCCCTTCAGGCTGCAAAAGGCAATTTGTCGAGTGGCCTGCTTAGCTCCCGATGATGGCGGGAGGCCAAAGCATTAATCAGTATGAAAGCAGGGGAGAGGAAGAGGAGAGCGGGAGAGGAGACATAGGAGGAGATGGGCTCATGGCTTAGGCTTCTTTAAGCTTTGCAATAGAGTTTTAGGTTAATAACTCTACATATTTTTCAGTTCAAAGAAACACATGACAATAAACAAATAACCAACCCCAGACTGCAGTTTTTTACAACGAAAAATTAAATTATTTAATTTTCAGGATTCTTTACGCAAAGAATCGCTCAATATTATTAATTCTCTACTGATTTCCTAAGGCTGTTTTTTTTTTCTAGAAATACAGACAAGGTCATGCCAAATTGTCTCCTGCCCATTGATTCGGTCTACACATCAGGGTGCTGCTGGGAAATTTGATTATGCTTATATAAGCAAAATCTTTAATGGCCTCTCTCTGTCTGCTCCTCACTCTGAGACTCGGCAGCTGTATTGATAATTAAATGGGCCGTGACATTTTTGTGTCTGTGCCTATACCCTTGAATATCTCCAGGTTGCAATAAAACATCCGCTCTATCTAACTGTAATGGATGGAGGCATTAGGAAAAGGAAGTTGTGATGAAAATGGGACCACTTTAGGTCTGTGGTTTGTGTTACAGTCTGTGCTTGATATATTGTAATTGATAACAGCATAGCTCATGTAAACATGAAGCCAACGCTGCAGGGACTATCTTATGATAAGCCCGTATGTCATGAATATGAGAATGCAGCAGCTAGCATAAAAGGAAATGGTTATTGTCAGTACCATAACTTCAAAAACAAAGTAGTTGAAATGTGACACATGACAAGGCATTTTAAGCTTTATTACATTGATGTTTGAATGAACTCTATTCATTGATTTTTGCTAGTCAACTTTGGACAGCAGTGTGAAAGCACTAATGTGTTAGCATAAAGTTGCTAATAACAAAACAGGCAGAATTACAAATATTTAGCATGACACTATATGTTGCTCTTTGATTTGATAATGTCACATGTGTGACATGTGTAGTGTGTAACTCTGTCATTTGCACTGTAAGTTCGCTAACATTAGCTAACATTAGCTAACATTCACCACCATAAGCTCCAGTTCATATTGAGGTATTAGCAGAAGCATAACCTGACCAAATAGGTGTTTTATTGTTCATTAATACATTGTTTCATTGTAGGGAGATGCATTTGTCATTTGGTAATTTGCAAACAATTTCATATTTTACTGTATAGCCTACATACAATAGTTTTCCATTGAATGAACGGAAATAAGTGTTTTCTTTTTTTAATGTCTGATCTATCCAGTAAAGCTTTCCACTGGTTTAAATCAACAAAGTGCTTTCTCTGACACTTTAACGACATTATAAATTCTTGCAGTTGCTGAAGTGCACACATTATAATTTCCTCCGCTCCTGGTGGAAATGTCACAGTCCTGGAGGAGGTGTGACATTTCAAAATTGAGATAGTGCTGTTGTTGTGTGAGCTGTGATCAATACACTACAGTATGTTTTTCAGGTCAGCAGACATGAATCTAACAGCTAATAGCCAGTAATGCTGGCTTTGGGAGCTAGATTTCAGACCTGACATTCATCTCTCCAACACGAGGGCACTGACATTAATTCCCTTGACTTGACACTGTAGCCATTATGTGGTTAAGTATTGTTCTGCGTGTTGCAATTGTACAGAAAGATCAATGACAGGATGCAGGCCGACCTGTAATTTGATTTATGCTGCATAAAGAACCAGGAGATTCATTATACATCAGAGGTGGACAGTAATGTGATTTGAATGAAGTACATTTACTTTTTCAGTCAGTTGTACCTTTTTACAGACTTTTTACCCTTAAAGGTGGGGTAGGTAAGTTTGAGAAACCGGCTCGAGATACACTTGTTGTTATATTCCATGGAATGCTCTTAACATCCCGATAGCAATGAATATCTTAAGTGCTAAGTCATCTGTGGAAGCCGTAGTACTGTAAAAAGCACGACCAATCCGTTTAGCCGGGCCGGCTAAACGGATTGGAATGCCGCCCTGTCTGTCAGCCTTCCATCTTGTGCACGCACAAATGTATCTCGTGCCCTCATTGGGCGTGCCGTAATTGGGCGTGTATTGCGCGTTCATGTGTGTTGGAGGAGGTGCTCTGTAAGGAAGTCTGAAGGAAGGGGCGGATTCTTTTCGGCTGTGTACTTTCAAATTTTAGTGCACTCGAGCCGGTTTCTGAAACGTACCTACCCCACCTTTAAGGTTTGTGACTTCTCACCTAATTTGTAAACCCATACTCAAGTTGTTATTCTACGACACTTTAAACTTCTACTTAAAGACTTGTTATTATAAAGTACTCAACCCGTATCTGATTCTATAGCAGAAACAAACCTTAGAATATCTGAGAATAGTAAATGTTCTGGGGATTTAAAAAAAGCCTTCTTTTCAACCTGGCAACGATACAAGCGCTGTATGACCTGTACCTCAGGCCTTAACAGTAACAATTTAGCAGTCATGGAAACTGCAGCAGTGATAACATTGTCCCCTGGCTCCAGTGTTTGAAGAGGAAACTGCTGACTAACTTCCTGAGCTCAACATTATAATGCAACTGAAATGAGTTGTCTGGATCCCTTGAATTCAAGCAGCGACTTATTTCCAAACTTCCATTCTTATCTTAACTTTTACTGAGAGTTGTCTCCACTTAACTACTCTCCACTGAATTTAGCTTTCATGAATCTATCTGTGAAACATTTCTGTCTGCTTTCAGAAATACATACAGGAAAAAAACCCTACCTTATTTAAGTAGGAAATCACATTCTCATAGCAGCATTGTCACTTTATATTCTCTTATTGGAGGCAGCTTTTGCTAACGTCATTGATTAGGCTGGGTTAGCACTAACGACTTGTTAGTTCGGCTTGCTGTGTCATATTCAAATTCTATTCTTCAGACGACCTCATCGGTAGGGCTCAGAAAGGTTCAGTTGAAAGGTTGATATTTTCACTTTCTCTTCAGTGTTAGACAGCAGTACAGTTTTCTCCCTTCTGGCGGCGCTACAGAGGACTGTATGCCAGAACAACCTGACACAAACAGTTTCATTTCAAAGACTATCGTAGCTCTAATTTGTGTATTTTTAAATCATTGCATGCCTACATTTACTATGAAGTGGATATTGTTGATGTCACATTGTACTTGTCTATTCTAGTATATGCAAGTTGCTTCATTAGATTAGTCGCTAAATGACATGTTATGTAAATGTCCTGCCTTTTTGTCGATCAACACCTTTGAAACACCTCGTCAAAATGCTGCAGTTGAAAATTGACCAGCTGACTATAACTGGCACATATACAGAAATATTGATAAGTGTGTGCTGCGCTTTAAAAAAAAATATATATATATAATGAGGGCCTTAGGGTATGACTCTTTTTCCATTAGTCCTGTGTAGATCAGAACAAATGCTATTTACATTTGTATATAACAGGAGTAATGTATTTTGTGTTTAAACATATTGCTACATATTTATATTAATAATTTTGAATTTCAATTTAAAATGTTATTAGCAAGAACATACAAATATATAAAATAGATGACTATTTGCTCAAGTTGTACAGTATGCAGTAATGGCATGGAGGGCTGAAAAGTATTCTTGCTACATTATTATCTGAGTGAAACAAGAAGGACAAAATGCTTCATAATGAAGTCAACAAGATCTACAGCTCTAAATATCTTGCTTTCCACAGTTTTGAGAGAGATTTAAATGGCATTAAGTAATTGGATTTCTTCTGGCTGGTTTCATCCCCATCACATGTTGCTGGATTGACAGAAAGCCCTGCCTCTTGGGCTTAGAAATTGCACCGTTTCTGGACTGCTGAGCATAATGGAGCCGCGTATAGCACAGCAGAGTGCTTAGTGAGGGAGACATCTGATGATGAAAAGGTGATGAAGGGGGAGCAATAGTTGCTTCACTACCATTGAACAAGGCTGGACAATATAACATTGGTGTCACATATTATAAAAAATATCTAGTTCCACTGCCAATTACTTCTTTGTGATTCTATATTGCACAAGTAAACTGCAATTTGAGATTAGACCAATTAACCATTTCAGACAGCTTCTAAAAAATATATTTTAACTGTGCACAATTAAAAAAGAAAAAAGGCGAAACTCAACTTGAGTTGAATGGAGGGATTTCTTGGCCACTTGGTTGGAATACTTTCATCAAGTTCCTACAAGAAATGCTTCTAACTATTATTAACACATCTAGATTACACTAAATGGTTTTGTTTCTATCCACCTTTTTAATTGTCGAATAATAACTGCTGTTCCATTATGCACAACAGTCGGTTCCTAACATTGACTGAGGCTTGGTGCTCGACAGTCATTTGCTAGACTGTCCATAACACTGTAGGAAAAGCACAAGTCCAGATAGATGAATGAATGATGTCAGAATTCCCTTTAGCTGTTTCAGTTTAAGAGTTCTTGTATTGTGCATACTGACTCAGGCCCAGCACCAAGGGGGGCCCCGTGGCTCTCTGAAAGCTGGACACTGACAATGAAGAACTCACAAATTGGTGAATCAGTCAGAGGGTTAGGTAAAAGTTGAGATAGCTATCATGTGAGGAGTATTTACTGAAACACTTATTTCTTTGCATTTATTTTTAAATAACCTATAAAGCAGTGTTTGAACCAACCTTAGTCATGGGTTTGTTTTAAATACAAACATTTCAATATTCCTTTAGCACTGTCACAGGCATATTTTTATTAAATGATTAAGAAAATGTGCCCTTTTATGCATTTGAGCCCCTTCCTCTGTAACATCCTCTGCACATACCTGAGTGCCCGAGAACTTCCAAAACCTGTCGGCATCTGTATTGTTTTCCGTTGAGTGAAATTCCAGGCACACATACAGCATGTTACATACAGATGGGGGCATGTGGCTATAATTATTCAGCAATATCAATAAACTGATGTGCCCCGCCCAATATAATTTTTACATTGGGCCCGTCTTTGTTAATCAAATGCCCGCCCACAGATTTATGTCTTCCGCCGGGTCTGTGCTGACTCACTCTCACACTGTCATGGCTTTCTGGGACACTTGACAAAAGCTGTGTTTCACTTAAAGATTCCTAGAAGAATATGCTAGTGCTTACCTGTATATCAGGACCTCATCATCAGAGCAGTTGTACTGGAGCTGATACATCTTCACCTTGGGAGATGATTTGCTCACTGTCCAAGTGACCAGCGCGGAAACAGCTGTCACCTCAGAGACGGTCACAGTCCTCTCTGGTTGGCTCTTTGGTGCCCCTTTGCTGATCCTTGTGGTCCCTGTAATATCAGAGAGGCGTGACTTCGGTGCTGATGGCTGCCCGGTGCCATTGCTGAGGTGGGGGAGCTGAACGATGGATACCTCCACAGAGGCGGTGGACTCCCCTGCCACATTAGCAGCAATGCAAGTAAATGAGCCAAAGTCCTTGGAGGTGGTGATGCTGATGCTGAGGGTTCCATTGCTGTATACCTCGGTTCGGGAGGAGTTTCCAAGCAGCCGATCCTCGGGGGAGATCCAGTGGATGGTAGGAGCAGGGTCGCCAGTTGCTTCACACCTTAGGCTAGCAGTCTGGCCCTCCAACACCAGCATTCTGTGGGTGTGCTGGGTAATAAGAGGTGGCTGACATAGAAACTCTTCCTCCTTCACGTTCCAAAAGTAACGACCCTTCAGGGCAGAAGGCGAGGCACACGTTTCCAAGTCATCGTCTCTCTCAAGCCTCCGCAGCCACAGCATCTCACAGTTGCAGTGCAACGGGTTCCCGCCTAGACTGAGAGACAGCTGGGGAGCGTAGGGTGTGGTCAGGATCATTGAGTCCTGAGCTCGGGCAAAAATGGGGTCTGGTGGTAGCTTCTGCAACCGATTGGAGGTCAAGTCCAATCTAGCAAGTTTTTCCAGGTCAGTGAAGGTTCCTTCTGGAATAAAGTCCAACAGGTTGTGGTCCAGACTGAGCTGGTGCAGGTTGATCATCAGTCGGACTGAGTCCCAGGGCAGGGACATCAGGTTGTTGTAGGAGAGATCCAGATCCTCCAAGGTGGGTGCCAGGTCCTCAAAGGCCTTGTCATGGATACGTCTCAGCTGGTTGTTGTTAACGATGAAGTGCTGCAGGTTGACCAAGCCTCGCAGGTCATCAGGACCCATCTCCACCAAGCGATTGTTGTCCATATGAAGTGAGCGCAGTGTTTCTAAGTCCCCAAAAGAGAAGGGCTGAATGTAGCTGATGGTGTTTCTGGACAGGGTCAGGTCCACCAGGTCAGTCATATTAGCAAAGTCCTGTTGCGTGATGCGGAGTATGTAATTGCCTCCAAGACGGAGCTCCACCGTGCCTTGGTCAATGTCCGGAGGCACGAATAGAAGGCCTTTGGAGGGACACAATGTCCCCAGGGATTCGGACAGATTCTGGCACACACAGTACTTGGGGCATGCATTGGTGGTCATCACTGTGGCTCCCAGGACCAGCAGGCACCAGATCATGTGGTCCATGGTAGAGTCATACATAGGAGCCTGGGTGAGGAACACAAACACAGAGACAGATGAGTTATAGAGATTATTTGCAAATGTTATCATCTTTCAAACGTTATCATACATTCAACAGTGCCCCCCTGAAAGACCATTCATGTGAAACGTTCCTTGATGAAGACATTAAGTATACTAACATTGTATCAGGTATTTAGGGGAAATACATATCAGGTCAACACGTTTATGACATTTAAAAAAAAAAAAATGGTAACACAGAAGTTGATGGTCAAGCATCACTGAAGCAGTTGATGCAAGGGCTCAGCTTAAAATAAAGCTATGCCCCAAGAGTACAATCTTGGTCATGCATGATGTTAGGAAGGACAAAACATTCTTAAAATTAGTTAAAAATAGTAATCTCATGTTCTTAATAATAACATGTTCAAGGGCAATTCGATTTGTTTACAATAACTATGTTCCCACAGGTTATATAAAGAATCTGGATATTGACATGCAGCATCTTTTTTTGTTTGTCAAGGGCATACATCTTGGGTTTGCTTGTACAGTGTGTTCCATAATGGACATTGAAGTAACCTTTATCTGGGATGTCATGTGACCCAGATCCTTTTCTCTGGTTGGATATAGAGTATCCAACCAGAGATATGTAGTGCTGTGATCAGAGAATACCCTGCTACACAAGTGGAGATCAGTAGACAGCAGGCACTCAGAGACGTGGTGTAAGCTGCAACACATGGGATTCTCATGAATCAGCATATCTCAGTAGTCAAATACAATTGGGCCATTCCAGCCTACTAAACACGATGAAGTCTCCTCCCTTGTTACGCAGCTACCACACACCTGCAATTTCATTCATAATTAATTTTTGCATGTGATAATCTCTCTGACAAACAGTGTAATAACTCTGATAAAGACAGCCAGCAGCCGAAAACAACTCTGTGCTCATTCATTTACATGCAGTGCCATTATTCAATATTATTATTCCAAACAAACGGATAAACACCATGAAATACAAAACAGAAAGCTTTGCAATATAAACTGAGATCATCCCTTATTTTCTTGCTGGCTCTCACCCACACATAGGCTCAACACACATCTACATCTTTACAATGCACATCTATACACACAGATGGCTGCATACACCCACCCACACCATCACATTACCAAGTCTGTGATGAATCCTATTTTTGCATTCAGTTGGACTATCTCTATCCTATCAACGGCATCTGAACACAAGATGTCCTGCCACATAAAGCTTCCCCTGCTTGAGATGATGGTATGATAGATGTTCTGATGGTTGTAAGCAGTAGGGATGTAACGATATATCGAATATCACGATATCGCGGTAAATAAATGTCTCAATACCGTCGTGAGACTGACAAAATATACCGCGATTTTTTTTTAATAACTTTTGTTGTTATAAACCTTTATTTAACCAGGTGGTCCCATTGAGATCATCAATCTCTTTTTCAAGGGAGACCTGTCCAACATGGCAGCAAGTAGGTTACAACATGAACATAAAACAACAGATAACACAAAAGGACATCGTATTTACAGGGCAACATGTACACACCTAGAGACATTGACAAGTACCAACAGTATATTTATATCTCGCCCTGTCAATAAGCCTCACCTTCTTGGCAAAAACTGTATTGTTTTTGAAGTGGTGGAGAGACAATGCACAGTTTTACCCACTGCTGTCACCATGGCCAAAGCATATCTCTCTGTCATCAGTACCAAGCAAGAGAGTTGTTTCCACAGCAGGGGATATTGTAAACACCCAAACATCCCAGCTTCTACCAGGAAATGTGGACATGCTCATATTCCTAAAAGATAACCTAGATGATGTTGAGCGAGTGAGTTAGAGTTGAGTTATTTGAAAAACTAAAGTGAAACTTCATTTATTCAATTGCAGGGTCTGATTATTATATTGTTGACACTTTAAAATACTACTATCCTACTAAAATGCTGTACAAATCAGATTTATTATTTAATAAAAAAAAAAAATGCAAGTTAAAAAAAAATTACCAAAAAAAATTCACATTTTTTTCTTTATTTTTCAATATCGCGATAAATATCGTACCGCGGACTTTTTCTCGCGATATTATCGTACCGTGAAATGTTGGTATCGTTACATCCCTAGTAACCAGTCTGTCAGGTGATGTGTGAAAACGGGACCAGTATTCCAGGTTCTTAAAGGATGGGTAATAAATGAAGTCGAACACCAGAGTAAGGAGTGAATACTGAGATTTTTATTTTTATAGAAACACATATATATATTGGCACAGGAATAAACAAGTTTAAATATTTTCAATTGTTTTTAAAGCGCTTGACACTTGGGTGCACCCCAAATAAAATAAACCCCCAAAATAAAATAGTTTGTTGTTCAGTTCCTGTAAGGTCCTCTCAAATTCCTACCACTGGTAGCGGAAAGATCAGGTGTTCAGGTTGTCATTGGTAGCTCGCCATCCCCCTCGTCAGGGAGAAAATCCAGAGTCCAAAATCCAGAATCCAGAATCTTCTTATCCAAGGGTCATCATAAAAACCCAGCCGAGGTAAATAAAATAATAATCAAAACTCTTGCTTTCCAAGGCAGCTCCAACCTCCAACAAGAGCCCCAGAGATTGGTCAACCGCCGTCCCGGTCAAACTCTTAATGTGCGCTGTTTTGTGCATATAATGATCACAACAAGTGTCTCCGTTCTTCCAGCGTGACGCTGCTCCCTCACACACACTTTTCCAACGTGCCCTCACCTTCCTGAGTCAGGAGACGGGACTTGGCGGATTTTTGTCCAACTGCAATCATGATTGCGTTATGAACCAATGAGCTTTGTTCTTAAAAGTTGACCATTTAACAAAAATATACTATAAAATAACTAAATAAAAAATACATAATTATTAACAAACAAAATACAAGAACCTTGTAACCTTGCTTTATCCAGTGGGTTACATAAGGATGCTAAATCGTTGAGTGTAACAGCCATGGGGATGCAAAAGAAAATGGTAAGCCAATGGCTGACTGTCAGGGATAACCCCTCGATTCCACCGGGTCCGTCTGCGTCGCGTCACGGCTGCGCCGCGGTTTTGGTCCGGCCTCCTCCGGCTTCATACCCTACCGGGCGCGTTTCAGGAGCGTTTCAGAAGCATTTCAGAAGCGGAGCGTCTTGCCTGCCGGCTCGCAGTTTTTGTTGATTTGGGCATATTTCCTGGACAGGCTACTTTGTACAGACAAAGTTAATAATAATTGTAATATTCCAGTTATAAACGACATGACTCAAAGATGTGTTGCTGTATTTTAGTGGTAAAGAAATGCATTGATCATCATAATTATTATATATATATAATTTACACAGTGCCTGTAAACCGGAGGAGAACGCTGGCATTTCTCCTCCTACCTGAAAGACTACGGAGGGATAGGGTCTGCAAAATTAGTTTATTTTGGGGACGGGCCAGATGCTCTGACCGGTCCACTTCCTGCCCGGCGCTTTGCAACACCTCGCGCCGCGTAGAAAAATAGACTTCAATCCTATTTTGAGCGGAGCCCAGCGGCGAGACGCTTCTGGGACGCTTCTGAGCCGTAACACGGCGCGTCTAGTGGAATAGCACCCATTGACTAGAGTGGCCGCGATCCTTGCGAACGTAACGCGACGCAGACGGACCCGGTGGAATCTAGGGGTAACACTCACAAAAATAAAGGCAATTTGACGTTATGTGTGTGTTTTAAGACTAGGAACTGCAAATCATAAGCATAGTATTTTTCATTACCAACACACTGCAGAGGACGTTACTCCTCTCAACGTCTGTCAAAACTACATTGTAATATTACCCTATATTCATGATTGTCTAATCGTTAGCAGAACTTGTACAGTTTGTCATTAGCTACTGAGATACTTTCTATACTTGCTGATAGTCAAATATGTAACCCTTCCTTGTGACTCTTTTGCAGCTTGTTTCATAAAATGTTGTTTATTGGGATTTATTTTTGGGCAGTTTATTTTTCTTCTTAAAAATGTAGATTAGGTGGCAACTGGTCCTCATGCTATTTGCACAGTTTTCTAAGTAATCCTACCTGCTGCTGTTCTACAAAGGAAATGCCTGTGCGGCACAACAAGTCCTAAGAAAGATCTACCAGACTTTTTGTATGGAAAAACAAAGGCAAATATTTTCATCAACGGGAAGAAAGGAGTGCAATGGAGGTGTTTCAGGCAGAGGGGGAGTGTGTGGGAGAGAAACTCCCTGTGGAGGTAACTTTGGATTGTTGCTTTTGCAGCCCATTTACACACTAAAACTAACACACTACAGGGGAAGGGAACACCCCCCAAAGCATATCAGGGGCCTCTTTAAATCATTATAAAATCACCAGAGTGATATGAAGAATGACACAGAATATTGCTATACCCAATGATCCAAAGTGCCTGAAACAGTTTTTAATATATGTGCTGAATTTCAGCCTAGAATATGTTACATTGCACATGACCTGTAGAGTGCTTTAGATTGTGCTCACGGGGCCTGGGGAACACAACTATAAGCATTCCATCACAGAGAGCAGCGCACTGAGGAGGAGACTTTGGTAAATCATCCGGTCACAGTCAAGGGCGCTGTGTGCAGGATGGATGGCGTGGAGGTCAGGGAGTTAGCAAAGACAGATCTCCCCTGACAAGTCAAGCATGACGCTCTGCAGGTGACTCGCTCGTATGTTGAACAGAGCGGGGACAGCAGTAATCAGTGCAGGCCTTGATGTGAACACTCATCACAGCTCCTGACAGACGGAGCTTAGGGGCCACCAGGCTCCTGCCTTCATGCCCTATCTGGCCCAGAGGTGGACGAGAAGCCACCGACTGCAGAATCATTTCCCAGTGACAGGAGATAGACACTGGAAAGGCCCGTCTCAGTGTTGTCATGATAATCACATTGTCAGTATTACCTCCAAACACCGTGTGAGAGATTGAAGTCAATATTACATTTCCTGAACATTCCCCACTTTCACCGACTGTGCAAGCTGATATTTCATTTCAGCAGCAGCTCCA